GGAGGTAATTATTCAGAATCACGGCTCCACCTGCAAATGGGCTGCAAATTTTTTTACGGACTTTTTATGTTTAGAAAGAAATATAAATAACCATTTTTAGTTGGGGGAGGCGTTGAAGTCACTACAAAGAGTTTTACCGAGAGATCCGATCATATTTGTCAAAATTCAGAAATAGCCTTATTCGAAATAATTACCATAATTACCTTTTTTTGGTCTGTAACTTTTTTTTTAGCCTCCCCCAACTAAAAATGGTTATTTATATTTCTTTCTAAACATAAAAAGTCCGTAAAAAAATTTGCAGCCCAGTTGCAGGTGGAGCCGTGATTCTGAATAATTACCTTATTGGATAATACCAGTTTTATAATTTTTTATTCAGACATTTTAAACCACTTCGAATCTTAAATCTCGAATCCGCAATGGAATTTTAGTCAGTTGTAGAAGTCGTTCAATGTCCGCACATTTCTGCATCAACGATTTCCACGTTTCAAAAGGCAATATTATTTGATTGCCTCGATTGTCACCAAGAACCAATTCCACACAAGATACAGCTCCAACGTTTATTCCAATGTCCAAATATTTATAAAATGTCGGGGTTAAGACGTATCTTCTTCCAAGTATACAAACCGCACGCGACGAGGCTCGGATGAAATGCTAGGGAGTAATAAAATATTATTTAGAAAAATATTTAAAAAGTATAAAATTCTATAAAATTAAGTTAATTAAAACTTACTTGTTACATTTCTTTTTTTTACACGGTGAAGTTTCTTCGTCTTGAATCGGAACATAATAATTCACACGACTTCCTTCAATAGAATACATTTTGATATGAACCTTTCACACAAGTGGTCGATGCAATACTGAGCGTATTAAAAATATTAAAAATATGTATTTGTATAAAATCAGTATAATTTTATAAGGAAGGAAAGTTAGATGAGCGACAATAGGGTAAATTAAACGAAAACAAGAAAGAAAAAAAGAAAAGAAACGGGAATCTAATTAGTATATATAAAGAAACACAAACAATAAATTTGAAAAGTATTACATTTAGTTAAAACAGGTATTTAATAAAGACGATTACAAAACGAACTCTTTAAAATAAACATAAAAGACTTAAAATTATTATAAGGTATAAACTACATGCTTTTTCAATACATTGTTAAAGCTATTATATGATTAAAATTCACAAGAGACTTATTTATAAATAACAGTTTAAGAATAAATGAAAATGAAAATTATCAACAAACCAATTCCAAGGTTAGAAAGAACTCTCAGAAACCTTAGAATGAAAGAATATACAATGAACCTCTGGTTTGTTATTTTAGCTGTACAATTCTTAATGAATAATCTTTGAGATCACGGCAAAAACTATAGAGAGCTTCCGGAATGTTCGTCAGATAGATCCTCAGGCTAGAGAAATTTCCAGGGCCTGAAGGATCAGAAAACTATCTCAGATCTGAGAACGAAAATTAAAATCCAACCGGAAGTCTCTGTGCTCGCCTCGAGAGAGAAACAATACTTGCGAAAATTGCTATGATCCCATGACAATGGTTATGATCTTTCGTTGTCGATTTGTTTCCAATAAAATCCATCAAATTGGTTGATATCGACAGTTTTCCAAAATTTATGAGCGATTCTTAAAAAGATGTTGAGATGTTGCGTAGGCTCAAATATAAAATTACAGATCGTTTTAACTATAATAAATAATTATATAACTTATGACGGTTTTGATAAACATGATGTCAACAACACAATTATGAACAAAAGAGAGCTGGAGCAAGAGAGAGTACAAGAGGAAGCTGATCTAGCGCCACTCATCGCGGAAATTGAAATTGGCGGATCGCTGCCGCCGCGATCCTCAAAGAATTTGCGCGGCATTTTTGAACAGTATTGGCGTAGCAAAATTGCAATGTGGTGGGGATTATTGCTGACGCGATACTTTTTAAATTCTTCTATTCAAGCGCCGATATATGGCTGCTTCGCGATGACATCACCCCCAGGTGGAGATTTAGCTAAATGCACAAAAAATGCAATGTAACATAGATTTTTCAAGCGGCGATGTGCAGTTGCTTCGCAATAATATCATCCCCATATATCAGAATCCGAAACACACATGTCAAAACTGCGAAATATAAGAATAATCGCCAAGGTTAAATTGTGCTAATATACAACTGCAAGTAATTTAAAACTTTTGCAAAGCATCAGGGCTGAGATGACATCACCTCCAGGTGTGAGATTTAGCCGAATATGCAGCGTAATATAAAATTTTCAAGCTCCGATGTATGCCTGCATCGCGATGACATTACCTCCTCTAGGTGTCAAAGTCCAGAATGTACAAAATCGTGAAATATAAGGATAAATTTCAAGGTTACATTGCACTAACATACTTGGACAACTGCATGTAATTTGAAACTTTTGCGATACACCCGGGATTTGACATCATCTCTAGACGACAAAAATGCAATAATCGACATTAGTCAAAATGTACATGATAAATCGCGAAATAAAGATTTAGTTGAAATTTGTTATTAAAAAAGTTGATTGAACACTGTCAAGGTTGGCATTCATCCTTATTGTTAGACTCGAGCAATCCTTTCTCCTTTGCGAGTCCGTAAACTTGCTTAGCCAGGATCTCGAACACTGTCAAGATTGGCATTCATGCTTATTGTTAGACTTAAGCAATCCTACCCCTTTTACGGGTCCCTAGGTGTGATCAGCCAGGATCCTGGTGTAATATCATGATTGGCATTCATACTTAGCTGCCAGGCCCTGAAGGAAAATCTTCTCCCTCTACTTCTATAACAATTCCCTCCGTATCGTTCTATTTCCCCTCTTTCTCAATATATATATACATATTAAAAATAAATGTAATTGAAATCCTTAAGGGGATCCAAAAGTTCGTCTGTTTTACCGACCAAAACGATTATTATTTTGCACACCGAAATCTTTTTTTTAATTGAATAGAATAATAAATCCTTTTCCATGATTTAAGTACACATCGAAACAAAGATGAGACTTCACGAGTTTATGTTAAAAACAGAAAGAAACTAAAAAATTACAGTTTTTTTATCGGCTTTTGGCGTCAGATCGGAACAATACTTATGTAATATAAAAGTTTTGCAATGTGTACGTGCAAAATAAGATACCTCTCCGCTCGGAAATGCATGAAAAAATATAGGTGAACGTTTAGAAACGTGTTTAGAAGCCTAGTAAAAAAGATTACCGTCTGCAAAAATTTCGTGCATATGTGTGTGTGCGAAATCGAGGCTCAAGAGTAAAACAGAGCAGTAGATTAGTTGCGTGACGTCGCGATAGGCAGAACTGCAATCTTACATGACAAGGACAGATATAATCGTACTATCTTTGTCTCGTTCATGCGTGTGAGAGTAATATACATGTACGCACTAACATTATTGCAGTATCTTTTTTCTCTCGATCATACGCTCTGTCTCTTTCTAATCGCTCGC